ATTAATTTCCAAAGTAGCAAACGGCGCTACAAGGCAGCAGATGGAATTGGATTACGGAATCGCGGAAACAACAGCGCGTGACATTCTAAAGCAAAAAGACAAACTGGTGAACTTTGCATCAATGTCGGACAGTGCTTCCACAATGAAAACGCGAAAAACTATAAAGGGTTCTACCTTTGATGAGCTAAACATGGCATTGAGAGAGTGGTTAGCTTAAGTTCGAAAAGAGAGTACTCCTGTAAATGGTCCTATCATTGCGGTGAAGGCAAAAACCTTTTTTAAGTTGTTAGGTCTGAAAGGAAATTTTGATGCATCTTCTAGCTGGTTGACTCGTTTTAAACAGCGACATGGAATTCGAGAAATTGTACTTCATGGGGAGAAACTTAGTGGTGACTAACAAGCAGCCGATGATTTCCACCGTGAATTTGAAGAATTTGCTTTAAAAGAAGGAGCAGTGAGTCAAATTTTAATGCGTAAACGTCTAGCTACCATAAGAAAATCCAAGGATGTGTAAATGAGACAGCATAATGAACTTGGTGAGTAGTCTACGTGTCTCTGGATCTGAAGTGAGTGACTTTGATGTTATTATTTACATTTTAATGTCCTTGCCAAAGGAATATGAAAATGTTAAGGCATCACTAGAAAATCAACCAAGCAATAATTTGAGTTTAGATTTTGTTACAAGCAGACTTATTGATTGTGAATCTCTTATGTTTGATTATAAAAGTGAAAACAAGTATTCTAAACCAAATATGGACAACTCTGTTTTTATTAGTGCTCGTAAAGAATTGTTTTGTACTTATTGTAAAAGAAAAGGACATTCTGTTAAATTTTGTACAAAAAAGAACTGTGTCTGTCATAACTGTGGGAAAACCGGCCATTTCAAAAGTGAATGTTTTGATAATTCTAAAAAGCAGGCAAATTCAAATAGTAATAAGTATGCATCCCCTGCAATATCGTTTTCTTTTATGGCTGGAAATCTTGTACATGATCAATTTATTATTGATTCTGGTGCAACTTCTCATATGTCTTCTCACAAGGAATGGTTTACCTCAATTAAGCCTAAAACTGGAACTGTTAAGTCAGAGGTTTTAGAAGTGGAAGGAATTGGTGATATTTGCGGTAAAACTAAGAATGTTGTTCAAATAATGTTAAAAGATGTTCTTTACGTTCCAAAATTAAACGGACAATTAATTTCTGTCAAAAATATTGAAGTAGCAGGTTTGAGCGTAATTTTTAAAAATGAAATAGTTTACATTGAAAATAAAAACAAGCGTTTTCGTTTTGGATATTTGGACAAATGCGGACAATATTTTAGTGATTTTCCCCCAAACCTATTTACAGCTTTAGCAGTAAAGAATGATGATTTATGGCACAGAAGATTTGGACACTGCTGTGATCAAAATTAAAACTAATGAATCTTCCTTCAAAAGAATCCTTTTTGTGAAGTATGCGTTCGTGCCAAACAAAATGCTTTGCCTATAGGGAAGGGTCCTCACATAAAAGAATCCAAACCGCTTATATACACACTGATATATGTGGTCCAATAGAACCTCAAACACTCCACGGGGAAAAGTATTTCATGACTATAATTGATGACTACTCGCAATTTATGTAAATCAGACTGCTCAAAAGAAAAAGTGACATTGCTGATGAACTTAAGTTATTTTTTTAATTGAATCCAACTGTTACAAAACTGTGCTGTGACAATGCCAAAGAATATGTCAGTGGAGAATTGCATGATGTTGCTAAAAGAGCAGGTGTAAAAATAGATCCTGCACCTCCCTATACATATTTTTTAACTGGTGTTGCTAAAAGAGCAAATAGAATTGTACTGGAAAAAGCTAAAGTAATGATACTTGAGGCAAAGTTACCAAAACTCCTTTGGGGTGAAGCAGTATTACGGCTGCTTATATAAATAATTGACTCCCAAATAGTTCAATTGACAATCATGTTCCTTATTCTCTGAAGTATGGTGAAAAACTGATTTAACAAATATGCATGTATTTGGCTGTGATGCTTATACACTTGTGCCACCATCGCAAAGAAAGAACTAGATGAAAAATCTGTCAGAATGATATTTGTAGGTTATTCCACAATGGGATATCGTTTAATGATTCCAGAAACAAGACGCATCGTTGATTCCAGAAATGTTAAATTTAATGAAGAAAAGAAGAAAGTAGAAAATTAAAAATATATTTCTGATAGTTCTGATTTGAGTGAAAATGACAATGATGACATTAAAAATGAAGACAAATCAATTTCAGAGACAGCGAATTAAATGCTGCAAATAAGAAGGAGGAATAAAGAAAATCTTCAAAGGAAAAGAAACAGCCAGTTAGGTATCCTAATCCTGAGATTTACCAAGTAATGTTTGCACAGCAAGACACTCTGACATTTGAAGATATTGTAAATCTACCACAAGTAGAACAAGAACTATGGAAAAGAGCTATGGACGAGGAAATGAAATCTATGGAAGATAACGACGTCTGGGATCTACAAAGTTTACCCCCTGATACAAGAGCCACTTCCTGCAAATGGGTTTTACGTAAAAAACGAGATGGAACTTACAAAGCCAGGCTTGTTGCTCGTGGCTTTATGCAAAAGGAAGGCATAGACTATACAGAAACGTTTTCAAGAAGCAAATATTATAATATCATTGTTGTCTAGTGAATTTCAAATGTCAAAATCTGAAAGGGTCTCAGAAATTTTAGGCATTAGACTGAAATTTGAGTCTGGTTGTTTATATTTAGATCAGAAACCATATATTGAAAAATTACTTGATAAATTTAAAATGTCTGATTGTAAAACAGCCCAAACTCCCATTGAACCAAAATCTACAGCAGCTGATTTTCAGAAAGGAAATGCATTTCATGGCCCATACAAAGAATTAATTGGATCTTTACTTTACGTGGCATATATTACAAGGCCAGATATTTTATTTGCAGTAAATTGCTTAAGCCAACTGCAGGAGCATCCTACTGATGTCGCCTGGTGTGCTCTAAAGAGAATTCTTAGGTACTTGAAAAACACATTGAATTTAAAATTGATATACAAAAAGGGTGATTTGGAAAGGGCAAACTTATGTTTGTATGTAGATGCAGATTGGGGGGGGGAGATACTCAAGATAGGAAATCAATTACTGGTTACTTTATAATGTTTTTAAACTGTCCTATTATGCGGTGCTGTAACAAGGAAAAGTGTATTGCAGTTTCATCAACAGAAGCTGAAATAATTGCTTTATGCAAAGGTATTCAAGATGTTTTATGGATAAAAAATGTAGTAAATGAAATTTCCAGTGTTAGAAATGTTTATATTTTTGAGGATAACCAGTCATGCATCAAAAGCATTGTTAATGAAAACTTTTCAGGTAGGTTGAAACATATAAACATATAGATGCATAATGTGCGATTAAGGGGGAGTGTTGAGATATTTCTAATCGCATTCTTACTGGTTAAAAGGAAGTATATCTTTCTGTTACGTCCGATATATTCATTAGCTTTCAGTCAGGTCCGAATTATTCTGAAACTTAATCTCATTCTTTATGTTATTTTTGATTGGTTATTTATTCTGTCTTGTTTATGATTTGTTAAACCATGATCTGCTATAAAGTTATATATATGACCTCTGTAACCGCTTATCTCTGCTTGCTTGTATTTCTTTGCATGTAACTCTGCATGTATCTCTGCGTATCTCAGTAATAAATATTTGTTTTGCGAACCACAGCATTTTCTATGTTTAATGAATACAATCAAAACTGATCTTTCATAGCTTTTTGGAAGCTGCTGTATTCCCTCTTCAAAGGCATTTTTGTTAGATGTATATTCATGCATCCACCTTAAAGCCATTAGGATGACACATATGAAATATAAGAGGCTAAATTTGCCCTTTAACAGATATGTGGCAACACATACCACACACCTGTATGTCACAGAAATTGTTCTCCAAGTTCTCAGTCAAGCCTGGTCAAAATTTGGAAGTTTGAGGTCCTCCTCAAACTCCCTAATCCCTCTCCACTGCAAACAACTGATTTAAAGAAAAATCTTTATTCCATTAACCAACAATCTCATTCTTTCTACAGGTCCCACATGATGACACAACGGTACATTGTAACCTAAATCTGCTCTTTAACAGAAATGTGGCAGGGCATTGTATTCACTAATATGTGATAGAAACAAATTTTCATTTTTTCTATTAAGCTAAGTCAAAATTTGGGAGTGTGAGATTCTCTCCCTCACTGCAAACTTAATGATAAACTTTTGTTTCATGGATGAGTGAACTTTCTACTTAACTCATTACTGTCACAAATACCTGTTGCAACTGATAGAACGCCTACTGAGTTACAGATAATAATAGCTTCAACATACTTTTGCCCCAGCGGATATTTTTTCCATGACCAACCAAACTTAATATAATGGCTAATGATACTGAATATGAAAATTATGGTAATTATAGTCTTATATCCTTCTGCTGTTTCCTAACATTGTGTTCCCATAGAGTTATTACAATCTGTAGGAAATGTGGTGATTGGAGTTCCATGGTAATTTATGAGCATATTACAGATTCAAAACATTTCAGATCAACAACTGTTTCCCGTAGAAACCAATCTCCATGAATCACTTTTGATTACCACATAATGAGGAAACTAGTTCTTTACTACAAATACAAAGACTGAAAACAAATCATTTTCATTCAAGTTCTCTAGTTTGATGCTGATTGGTTGAAAAAGTACAATTTACAACTTTTTGAGCAAGTGAAGAAAAAAAATCACATTTCTTTTTTACAATGATGAAGCTAGCAGAAAAACTGTTTGAAATAGTTTTTTTGACTGAAATAAATGGGTATGTGATAATACTCTTATAGTGGCAGAGAAATCACAATGTGAAATATCCAACAATCTGTGACATATGAATGTTCTAATAACTAAACGTAATAATGAAATGTGAAAATTACATATCACCTAATTATAAGCTTCCAAGTTAAATAAAAAAATTTCATACCTTTTCAAAAGTCCTTGCCTTTCATCAAGAGCATTTTCAAGCTTTGCTTCTAGCTCTACAAAGTTAAACAACAATTATAGTAGTTAGACTATGCAAAATCTTCCAAGTTAGCAAATAAATAAAACATTTTGTAAACTTTTATTAAATCATTTTAATACACTTTAATATAATTTGCTTCATTTTCATTGCATATTTTTACAATAGCTCTCACTCAATAGTTAGCAGTACAAACTACTCAATTCACTAGTTTAGCAAATGCTGGTACAGCTCAGAAATTCAAATATGTATCTAGGTAAGTTAAATTAAAACTTGCTATTTACTAGCCTTGTTATTATTATTTCTATTGGCTAATCTTTGGAATATGGTAACAGGTAGTTTGGCGACATTTTGGTAAAGCGATAAAGGTTACTAGGTAGGACTTTAGCAATAATCTGAGAAGTACACAGTTCGAATCACAGATTATTTTGTCTCAGAGAAATGAGAGATCATGAGACATGTCATGCGACATTTTCCGGAAAATTCCGATCGTGATTTTAGCTAATAAGCACTTAGAAACAATTTCATTGCTAAAGAGCAGAATCGTCCACTTATTTGTTTGGCGCTTTTTACAAGAGTAAGAAGAACTGGATTTTTTGTCAATTTTCTTTGACTTTTTAAGTGAAAATTGGCCTATGTGTACATGGATAAAGTCAAGTGTGTGCGCAATGCCATATTTGTGCAATTCTGGAATTTTTTTTTTATGTGAAAATAGGTTGATGTGTACATGGATACAGCGTATGCGCAATTCTTAAAAACGCGAGAAGCAGTGGGTGATTCTGCACTTTCTCCCAATTTCACACCTAATCTTTGTTATGATTAAGCACTTTTGTTCCATAAAAGTTCTAGCATAAGCGTAATTCAGCTAGCAGATTGTTGGAAAAAATTTTGAGTAAATAAAATAAAATAAAATAAAATAATAAAATAAAAAACACTTTTACTTCGTGAAAGCAAAATGGCGTCAAAAAAAAAAAAAAAAAAAAATAGCAAGTTTGCTGTAGCAGGGTTAGTTGCCAAAAAATCACCAAGTTACAATAATGCGAAGATTCACCTTTCTATTATTTTTACTTTTATATTTTAATTGTTGTATATAGTTTATTTTAGGTTTACATGCATAATTCGTGTTGAGGAAGTTTCCCATAGGCAAGAGTTTCTAAATTACTTTGGTTTTCTACTTTTAATTGACTTTTAATTAATTTAATTAATTACTCTAGTCATTTACTTACTTTTTTCTTAAAATTCCACTGTTTAAATTTCTTTCTATCTTTCTTTTATTTTAATTTACAACATTTGATTTTACTTTTGGTTTTGAATTTGACTTTTACCTTTGCCTATATGGATGATGAAACATGAATTGAGTAATTGAAGAGTTAGGTTTGGGGACAACTTTCCCCTGACAGTCTGTCTCCTGCCTGCTCAACAATTATTCACTAATGCAATTTTTGGAATAATATATTTTTTCATGGTTTTAGATAAGTGCAATTAATTTACATATGTGCTTAGAATTTAAATGATATTGTAAATTAGTTCACAGCAACAATAATTATTAGTCCAAAGGGATTTCAGTCCCGAAGGACTATTGCTTTCGTTTTGGCATTTTGCGTCGGACTCATAAACGTCGGTTCACTTTTCAAACTGTTGCCACAAAATGTTAGTCCTGCATTATATTTGAAGAAATTAAATAATGAAAAATCTGCATAAATGATTGTCTATTTCTCGCATTGTGATAAAACAATGGTACATAGAGCCATCGAATTTTGAATGACGAAATCCTAACTGCGAATATGGGCATCTGAAATCCCAAATTTGGAATTTGTTTTATTATAGATTTTATATTTTGTAAAACTTTAACGAATTTTTGATTTACAAACTCAATGCTTTAAAAGCGAGAAATGGCAACGTTATATAGAAAAAAAAATACTTTTATCTCCAGCTCGCGAGACTGTGTATATCGGAAATTCTAAAGATATGCTTAATTTAACATTATTTTGCGATATTGCTCTTGAACTGAATTTTATGGTTTAAGTGCAAAGAACATGATATTTAATAAATAAAGGTAACACTCAAAACGTTAAAAAAAAACGCCCCTTTGGACGTAATTTAAAATCTGAAAAATTTCAGATTTTTTTTTTTTTTTTAAATGAAAAGCTCTCATTTACCGATTTGAGTGGGGAAGATAACACGGGAGGGAATTACGGTTTCCTGTCATGCAACTTTGTACCTCGCTTTTCAAAAGATAACGCCTAGTTTTTATTTTTATTTCTTTGCAATTAAATTTCTTATTAAATTTTTAATTTTATATTTGCTTTATATGAATAGAGAATTTTATATTTGCTTTATACAAATAGGGAATATTTGTTAAATTGGTTTTAAATATATAATTTATCATTAGAAAACTTTTTAATATCATCTCTAAGGAACAGAAATTGAATTAAACCCAGAAATTATTATAATATATAAAAGTTTTATATAGCATTTTAATTAGTATTTTAAAATAGAAAGTCTAGTATTTCTAGACTTCTATTGCAGTAAAAATTATAAAAAAGTAAAAAGAAAAATCCTGAATTGCAAAAATACCAAAAGATTGGTTTGTTTCCCTTGACAAGTCAATTAATCTGCAGTCAGTGACAATAACTAGTTTTTCAATACTTTAAATGTTTGTTCAGGATTTTCTTTTTACTTTTTTATGATTTTTCTGCAATAAAAGTCTAGAAATACTAATTTAAATACTAATTAAAATACTATATAAAAATTTATTTATTATAATAATTATTGGTTTTGATTCAATTTCTGTTCCTTGGAGATAGTATTAAAGAGTTTTCTAATGATACATTATATGTTTATTACTTTGCAGCTTTAGTGCATGTTATGGGCTTATTAATTTACTCTTAATTACTTTATTTATAATTTTATTTTTAATTTTAAATATATATACATTACATATAAGTTCAAGCAGAAACACTTTAAATAAAAATATTGTTATATATTTACATAATCTCTTGTTTAAAAAGCAATTTTGGACCACGAGAAATTAAAGATATTTGCCCTAGTTAGCAAAATTACTCTAAATTTACCTTTATTTCTTAAACCTTGATTACATAATCCAAGTGTTTACATTCTTGGATACAATTACACTCTTGGATTTACTAAAAGGCTAACACATGTTATTTTTGCTGTAATATTCTAATCAATAGGGAGAAAATACTTTCTTAAATAAAAATGTTATAAAATGAAATTTATCTAAGTTTGAAGGGGAGGGGAACCTAAAATCAGAAATGATTTTAAAATATAAACATTTTTATTCCATGATTAAATTAGTAATGTTCGAAGCCTAAAGTAGACAGATTACATTAAAAAATAATATGTGCTTTATAGTGCTCTGAGGCCTCTAAAAACGTGGCCGAGAAGTGTACTGTTTAAGAGGTTGCTCGAGGGCGTGACAGACAATGCTAAAAATAGAAGGCAGTAAACATGGCCGTAATTTCAGAATAATAGAATATATGCTTCATATTACTTAGCAAGTTCATTATTAAAGAATTAAATTACCTAATTTTGTTCCACTTATTTCATTTAGTTTTATTTCTATAGTTTCCCTCCTTTTTTGTTCAGTAGATAAGTCTTCTCTAAGAGTTTGAATGTTCTGAGTAAGAATGCCAACTTGTGCTATATGGTGAGCTTCTTTTTCTTCCCATTCTTGTTCTTTTTGTTGCAACAGTTTCTTTGTTTCATCCTTTAATATATAAATAGTTATTACTGATTATTAAAAATTATCAAATACTAAATAAATTCATATAAATTTCTAGTCAAACAAGGTTATCTAACTGAAAATGAATTTAACTATGCTAAAACGAATATCCTTATCTATAAAAATAAAATCAATACTTCTAACTAATTTAAACTTTCGATAAATTGTTTGACTTTAGTGTCAGAGTATTAATGATGATAAGATTATTCTAAAAACCCAGATTCACGTTCCAATGAATAAACAAAAGTTCACCTAGATATCACAAGATTACAATAAACAATAAATGGCATAAATATTATATTAAACATAATGCTACATTTTCAAAAGTTTAGAAGAAACTACCAAAATAGAAAGAGATTATTGTGATAATTTATGATGCTACAAATATGAATGGCTTGTATGGGCAGGGATGAGATACTGGATTACACTTGTGATATGGCTATTGCTGCTGGCTAGGACTTGACTGGTTTCCCGTATACTCTGTCATGAAGTTCTTTCATGATGGAGAAGTGTGTTACCCCTGCAGACCATATGTGTTAGTTTTCTTTTCCCTACAGCCCATCTCTTCTTCTCACGATGATGTTGACAATCAGACTTCCTCAGCACATCTGTTAGCAGTTTGGCCCTGTGCCATTGTTGTGCCCAGCAGAGACGTAATAAAAATGTTTTATATCTGCATCCCATGCAGTAAAGCTTTTTAGTCTCCATGAAGACTACCTCTCCATGCCGATGTAGGATAGAAGATGTAGTGAATTTTGAACCCTATTGAAAGTACAAGATAAGATTCTGTGCATGTGAAACAAAAGAGGGAGCTGTTGTAGGGCAACTGCTCCTAGCACATTTCTAAGGCATGTGTTATCACTGGCGAATTCAAACTGTATGCAGCTTCAATGTTCTATGAATGTTAAAAAGCTACTAAAAGAGGCTCCCATGAAGTTTGAATTTGAGGGAGTTACATATTCAGGCATGTGATTAGAACATGAGGAATCCAGGAGATTAAATTTGTTTTTCACTTTTGCCCAAAATGGTATGTAGACAATTATTCATAGCAAGTGTTTGGCCTTTATAGGGCCCTGACTTGCATAGATCACAAAATCCCTACAGCTGTCTGAAAAGTTACACAAAAAGTCTGAATAAGTAAAAAGCCCTAAGTGCTAGAAAGGAGCAATTGTACTCAAGGCCTATGTTTTCTTACATACAATTATGAGAAATAGGAAGCAAGTACATTTTTTATTGCAAATTTAGTTTACCTTAGGGAATGTAATCAGCAATACTTATTATTTTGCCATTTTTTCCATTTAAATATAAACAAAACTTTAAAAAAATACACAACTTTAACTAAATGAAATAACAGAATAAAAGAAAATCTGCTATTTTCTACATAATGCTCTTCATATAATTATAAAATTTACTAAGACATTACTTTTAAATACATTTATATATTACCCATATAGGAAACTTCTTGATATTTTTTAACCTATGTAATATGGTCAGCACTTATCAACATAGTTCTACTTTTAGATAATTAAAAGATATCATTAAAGTATTTTATAGCTGTAAATATACTTACTATGAATGTTAGCACTGATTAGAAAGGAAACTGAAAAAAATTAAATGTAAAAGAACTTCCATGAAACTTTCTAAATTAATATTTTATACTTGCTTGTAATGCTTTTATTTGAACAGATTATTTGAAGTTTTGCAATATGTTAACTATTCTTACATTTTAATAAATTAAAAAAACACATTTTTATTACTGCATATGATCTAACAATTTTCATTCATTTTCAATCATTAACCAAGTTACTTAGCAAGAATGATGAATTTTAAAGCAAACACTTTACAGTTCATCATTTTTAGTAAGTTACTTGATCAGTGACTGAAAATAAAGTTATTATTCTTTAAATATAACTCCTTCTTGCTGCAAATAGATGATGATTATTTGAAAAGTAATTTTATTCTAATGTAGAAAAATATCTACAGCACTGTTAATGAATTCTGTTGATACTGAATGAATCCCACATATTTTTAAATTACACCACACATAACAATTTATTTCTGAAAGTCTTTACAAATTACAATTTGAGAATAATGATCTAAAAATGAGTAGCACAAACTCCTTCTTACTAAAAAAAGAATTTTGTTTTCTTTACAAATTACTACCAATAAAGAAAAGAATGGAAGGATGGATTTCTGCTATAAGTATATGAAAAATGGAAAATAATAATAAATGAAAAACTATTTTTTTTTCAGTTGAAAACTACATACTAATATGTGCCAGTTGCAAACAAAAAAATGCAAGAACTAGATTAATTCAGTTGATATTTTTCCTTAAATAATGAGGCAAGAGTTGAGTCTTGCTTTTACAGGGCTATGTTATTTAAGGCAATATAATAATCCCATTACTGAAGATTTCAGCCATGAGAATTAAAAGTTTTAATGATACTAGTCTTAAAGAAAAAAATCTTACATTAGTACAATAGGTAAGCAGGTAATTATCATAGTTATCTGGAAATAAGATCTCCCTCAAATACAAGACCCTCCTTATACTTTAGGTTAAATTAAAAAAAAAAAAAAAAAATGTACCTGAATATTTATTTGTCTTGCAGTAACTTTGAAACAGAGATTCTTATGTTAATAACTTATTTGTCACAGTCAAAATAGTATAATTTCTCTGTACAGTAAGATAATTAAAGTCCTTACTCACATTCAGCAACTTCATCAAATAAAAATAAGACCAAACAAAATTTTAGAACAAAAATATAGCAACAAAAAGAGGATCATATTATGTTGCAATAATTTAATATTAATTAAATAAAATGTTTAATTAATAATTAATTTAATACATTCAAAGGTACTTGCCATAAGTATATTTTGTGGTGGATATTCTTTACATATATGTTACACATAAGGAACACCACAAAAAACATACAAAAATTATATCTTGAAAAGAAATATTTGCAGCAGTGATGCTATTCCATAAGTAGTATATCATGTTCTTTGTACCTGAATTTTATTTTTTACAAAGGAATCATAATTATGGAAAATACGCAAGCCCTAGAACATCTGCAGAAATGTGAAAAGTATTTGTATTAACCCTACTTTACGACTTACACTTTCATACATAACTTTTAACATTAAGTCCAGGCAAATGCCCTCCTTTCCCAAAGTGGATGAATAAGGTTAGATTTTGACACTTATGATTTTTAAATTTACATGAATTCAAAATTTCAGTTTTTTTTTACTTTGAAAAAAATTGAATTTTTTAAAAATTTTCATAAAGGAATATTATATTAAGAAAATCATAGTACTCTTCAAGTAAATGCTTTCAATTTTCTTCATACAGATCTTAATATTTGAAGTTTGGGCTATCTGAATTAAAAAGTTTGGACTAGTAACACAACATTTAAAAGATGGAAGAGATTATGAGTGAAATATTTTGGTGAGCTCTAGTTTTGCACTGATATAAGTTTTTAAATTTACTTTTGAAAGTATGATGTAAGTAGAAAGATGTTTCAAAATATAATAATTTTTACTAACTAAAATAAAAAATGCACATGAAAAAATAAAGAATTTAATATTTATTATTTTCCTTAAATTTTTTTTATGGATTATGCCATGCGTTGCTTTTCAGAAATCAAAAGTTGCTATTTTTCATCTTAGTAAACACTCCATAGGTCCCTCTACAGAATGAATCTTCCTGCAACAGTGTATTTTATTTCTAAAATTTTACCATAAATTCTATCCTCACTTTCAGTTCTACCAGATACTCATATACGAAACTCGTTTCTTGATTTAAAAGTTTGGTATTTAAGAATATTTAAAATTTGTGTGTCAATGAATAAGCCACAGATTTAAAATTACAAACTACTGATACATTATACAGTCAAAAGTCGTTAATTCGGAACTCAAAGCTAAAAACTTTCTGCGCATGTGTCACACGTAAGACCTTTACGGCTGCGAATATGCGTGTGCACATGCCCAAAATATGTTTACGCATGCGCGTTTAATGTTTAACGGACGGTATAAGCTAAGCTAAAATTATCTAATTCAGTTAATGTTGCAGATTGCGTTGTTCTTTAATCTTCGAATTGGATCCGGCTTATTATTTTTTGCAGACTGTTAAAGCAATTTTATAAAAGTAAGCTTGAACTTTCGATTATGTCAAATAGAATTTCCGATATATATTTACTAATATGTATAGGATCTACAAGGCGAAAGTTGTTTCGAAGTCCATTAAACAAAAAGTGGAATTGCTGCAAAAAATGGATAAAGGCATATCCTTTGTTTATCTAACCATTCCGAAATCTGTTTATCAATTTCACGCTGCTCTGCGGCGGGGTGACGCCGCGGCGTGCTATGAATTGGAAGTTGATCTGTTAGCACTATCCTTATCTTCAGGGCAGATGTTTTTTATTTTATTTGGCTCATGATTCCTTAATAAATGTAGTATTTCGTCTCGATGTAATCCGTCTTTGATATGATTTAAATCAAATTCCTCGTCATTATAATTTGCTTCCGATACCGAAGAAAGTAAAGTAAACAAATAAATATTAAGCTTTTTTTTTTGTAAATTTTGATACCCTTTAGATCAGAATTGTTCTTTATTTCATAAATTACGGTTTCATATTTTAATTTTATAATTTCTGCATGCCATCTTACCAAATTTAAACTGATGATCTATAATCCGGAAAAATCGATAATTCGGAATCGCCGAAGTCCCGACGAGTCCGGATTAACAACTTTTGACAGTACTATATTTTGTTGCATATCATAAATACACTAAAAAACTTCACCTCTTTTCATTGCAGAATATTATACGTCGGAAAAGCACCTGTAATATAGTTGCAGGGGAAAAATGAATTACAGCAACAAATTAAATGAAAGTGCAGAAATAAGACAGAATTATACATACTAAAGCTGAAACCAAAGAAGCATTTTTCTCTTCTGCATCTTCAAGCTGATTTTCCAGCTGCTTGACACTTTCCTGAACTTGTGACAATTGCTACAAGTGAATAAAAATTATCAGAATTTTTAAAAACATAAATTACTTGTGATACTGATGACATTTTTGCAGATTCAATGACATCAAAAACATGTCAGCAGCAGTTCCCCTACAATTTTAGTTTGACAGATAAGATATTCCAACTAGGAGTACAATGGCTAAGTAGCCAAGTCACAATGTACTAGCAGTTCACTTTGAGTTTAGTTCAAAGCTGGCTGCATGAGGTTTTCTTCATGTATAATATGAAGAAAAGACAATTTTTCCTATCACGTCTTTTATAGCAGCAGAAAAACAATTTATGTGTGCTTTACCATAATGAATAAATTTTTAAACCAATTTCAACTAGAATTTTAAAATAGAAAAACAATTTATTAAGCTTTCATTCAATCCTAACTGCCAAAAAGAAATTACTTAAAAAGATGTACTTAAATCAAGAAACAAAAAAATTTTTTAGACAAACTATTTAAACTGAGAGGTGAAAAATTAGCATGATTGTTTCTGTTGTTTTATAACAGATAATCAGCATGAGATAATATCATTATAATACTAATTAGAGAAATTAAAATTTGAGTACACTTCATAAGCATTATTGTAAAGATGACTTGTAAAGATTATGACTTGTAAAGATCATGACTTGTAAAGATTGTGACTTGCAAAGATCGTGACTTAAAGAGAACGTGAAATATAAAAAATAGGACAAGAACTTGCATTTTACGGTGTGGCAACAAGAAGAAAATTCGGAAGATTTTTTTTTTTTTTTTTTTTTTTTTTTTTTTTTGATAGTTGAAAGAGTTTTAGTTGTAGTAGTTAAGAGTTTAAAATTTTAATAGTTAAGAGCTGCAGCGTTTTATTTTTTTGCTTCTGTTCTAAAATTCAAATAAAAGTATTTTGTTCAGTCTGAAAATTTAGCTTTGTTCTTCCTACAAGGTTCAATATCCGTTATATTGAAATAAGGAAAGGATTTTTACTGGCGCAGCCGGCAGGATCGGGGTTTCTCCGCATATAATTACGAACCAAAATAACTCAGGTGAGAGCTCAATTTACCTTGTAAACATAAAATAATTAATTAAGATTATGAAAAGTTAATTATTGTTTCCATCATGGAATCTTAGTTTATTTACTTGTCAAAGTAATGAATACGCCAATGTTCAAATGTAATTTCGTTTGACTCGCCAGAGTAGGTGAACAACACATTAAGCATTGATTCCACTGATTGATTTTCGTGCCGAATAAAATTAAATTCATTGTGAATTATATTTGAATAGAAAAAGAAAAAAAAATTGCTTTTTTATAAAACTAAGAGTCTATTGACTGAATAAAATCAGAAATCAGTACTTGGCGTCAGTCAGCTGCTACAGTGTTACAGATAGAAACGATTTTTCTTTTTTTTTTTTTGGTTTCCCCAACGAAAGAGAAAACCGCAATCAGGGAGTTCATACTTTAACTAATGTTAAGGATAAATTGAAGGACGCATTAACAAGAAATTAGTTTTTTTTTTTTAAAATTAAATTTGCAAAGAATAAGGTTTATTTAAAATCGAGACATGGCTTTTATGAGACATGGGAAAAAAGAGGATTTGCTAGTTTTAGCTGCTGAATTAGAAATTAAAGTAGATCCAAGTATGAAAATCGTGGCGATAAAAAATTAAATAATTCAAAGTGATACATATGAGGAAGCATTTGCTAAAGAAGTGTTTTTAACGATTGTTGAAGAGAGGAAAAGAAAAGAAGAGGAACAGCGAAGGAAGGAGAAAGAAGAGATTGAGGAACAGCGAAGGAAAGAAGAGATTGAGAAACAGCGAAGGAAAGAAGAGATTGAGGAACAACGAAGGAAAGAAGAATTAGAAGCACAGCAGAAAAGAGAGCAAATGGAGTTTGAATTGAGGAAACTCGAAATTGAATCTCGTGTTCGACTAACACAAACTACACCAACAAATGAAAATGGACATCATAATTTTGATTTAATTAAGCTTATTCCCAAATTCAATTTAAGACACGATGATATTGTGATTTATTTATCCTTATTTGAAAGACAAGCTAAAAGGACGAAGATTGATCCTAAAGATTGGGTTTCATGTTTATTGACTTTAATGCCATCTAAAGTCATTCAATTAATTGGTAGGGAATCTGAAGAAAATTTTGAAGATTATGAGTACATTAAGGAAGAAGGCCATTTTATTGAAGAGATTTAAATTAAATCCTGAAAGCTATAGAAAAAAATTTGTGTGATGCACCAAAAGAGCGCTGAAAAATCATGGAGAGATTTTCGCTACGAAATTACAAGTTATTTTGAAGAATGGATCAATGGTCTTGAAATCACAAATTTTGCCACGTTAAAAGACTTGATCATTACTGATCAAATTAAGAAAAGAGTACCCTATGAAGTAAGAGACCATCTTCTTGACAACTGGGCGAAGTTCGTTTCTCCAACCAAATTAGCTGATAAACTTGACGAATATGACAGTGTTCGTAATATCTCAAAACAGACTGGTGGTAATCCATCAACAGACAGAACTAATGAAAAATGGCAACCTCGTTCTCCACTTCCAGAAACAGCTATCAGAAATAAATCACTGTTCGCTGAAAACATGCCAAGAGTGTACCCATCCCGTAAGAGTGACGAACCATAAAAGCCTAGTTTCAAACTAACTTGCTATAATTGTGGAAAAGAAGGTCATACATCTAAGTTATGTACCAAAAATCGGATACCAAGAAGTGCTTCTGCAACAGCACAAAACAACTTAATACAAACACAAGCACCCCTTGCAGAGAAAGAAAAACCAGAAGTGCCAACTGCCAAGATCTCTATTCCTGTCTCAAAATCAGTGGACGTGTCTAGAAACATAGATGAATTAAAACATGTCAAAGTTAAATGTGGAGATATTATTCTAAATGGAATCGTAGACACGGGAGCACAAATTTCAGTAGTCCATGAGATATTGGTTGACAACATACCTTGCGAAGGAGAAAGTAAAATAGAGGTATCTTCTTCTTTTGGTGAAAACGAAATTACTCCACTAAAGATTTTCTAGATGAAAATTGACGATGATTTTCACGGTAGAGTGTCCATTACGTGTGCTGTTTCAAAAAAGCTAGTTACCAACTTGCTATTGAGTTCTTCAGCTTATGAAACGCTCTGTGAAAATATCAAACTGTGGAACAGTGATCGTCATTGGGATGCATCCCCCTTAGAGTACAAAGAGACAGATGATGAACCCTCACCAGTTGAAGACAATACTACAAATTTTGGCTGTTGTTAATCAGATTTCCCAAGAAAACATAGAGTCTCTGAAAACAACGAACAGAGTAAGACTAGAATTCAAGACACATCAAAACAAGACGAAACTCTGAAAAAATGTTTTGAATGGGCAAATAAAAATCAAAATTCATACTTTCAATGATGGCATATTACTTCATTCCGAATATATCTGAGGTGAAAACATTAAGCAAGTTTGTTTACCTTTAGAAAAAAGAAGGGAAGTCCTAAGAATGGCACATGAAATCCCTCTTAACCGGCCACCTCAGTGAGAAAAAAAGACAATTCAACGACAACAATCAAGTACTCATTCTTTTTTGGCCTACTATTAAGCAAGATGTTAAAAAATTCTGTGAAAGTTGTAAAGAATGCCAATTGAGGAGAACAGTTACGTACAAAGATCGAATCCCAATTCAACCTATTGTTAGACCGGAAACACCCTTTGAAGTATGGAGCGTGGATTGTATCGGGCCATTAGAACCTCCATCCAGGAGAGGTCATCGGTTTGTGATATGTGCAGCTGACCTATGCACCAGATGGGCAGAAGCCACCCCCGTCAAAGACATAAGTGCGAAAACAACATGCAACATTTTGATGAGGCTTTTTACTGAAACTGGAATTCCAAAAGTGATTTGTTTCCGACCAGGGAACTCAATTTCACAGCCAAACTCACCCGAGCCTTTGAGAACTTACTTGGTGGTGTCTCCACGATTCTCCACTCCAGGACCACCCCGAGAGTATGGGTTGCTGTCGAGCGTTGGAATAGAACCTTAAAAGAGATGATGAACAAAATATCCAAGACATGGCAGAAAACTGGGATTTGAATCTTCCCTATCTCTTTTTGCCTACAGAGAAGTGCCCCATAGCACCACTGGTTTTTCTCCCTTCCAGATGGTATATGGAAGAATACCACCAGGACCATTATCTTTGCTGAAAGAGATATGGACAGGTGAACATAGCATTCCGGTTACAGCTTCCCGTTCAAATGAAAATTATCCACAAGACCTTTTAGAAAAACTAAGTAAAGCTCATGACATTGCATCAGCAAATTCCAAAATATCTCAAGAAGAGTACACTTCAAGATACAATTTACGTTCTCAAGGAAAGACTTTCAATGTTGGGGACAAAGTCCTCGTGTTAATGCCATCATCATCACATAAATTGCTCAACACCTGGCAAGGACCAGCTACCGTGATCAAACTTACCAGGCCACACTCTGCGAAAATCGAAATGGAAAACGGAAGTATTAGAGAACTCCATATAAATAAGTTAAGGCCTTACATTGCTCGTGTAGATCACATTGGTATCATTTTTGAACAAGATGAAGAGTTTGGAGATATCCACTATGCACCAGCAGATCTTATGAATAAAGCTGCTGATGATATCTAGACCCATTTACAAAATTTGAAAGGCGACTTAAAATATTACCAATGGGAAGGACTATTTAAAGTACTAAAATCTTATGTAGATGTTTTCAATAGCAAACCTGCTCAAGCCAATGTTGATGGTCATGACATCAAGGTTACAGAAGAATGTAATCCAAAAAGATTGAGGCCCTACCGTGTTCCTGTTTCACTTCAAGAGGAAGTTGATCGTCAAGTTAAAGAACTGTTAGAATGGGATCTTACAGAACCCAGTTACAGTGACTGGGCACATCCTATAGTATGTGTTGGAAAAAAGAATGGTGGCGTTAGACTGTGCATAGACTTCAGGCTTTTAAATAGCTTCACAGTTCCGGATGCCTATCCGATGAAGATTGCTAAAGATTTACTATTCGAAATAGGGAAAGCCAAATTCATAACAGTTCTCGATTTAACCAAGGGATATTGGCAAATTCCTATGAAAGAAGAAGCTAAACCCTACACAGCATTTATCACTCATTCCGGCCATTACCAATGGAAAGTTCTCCCTTTCGGTTTGAACAATCCTGTAAGTACCTTCCAAAAATCGATGGATAAGGTGCTTGCATAAGAACTACTGCCATTCATATATTGATGATGTGGCAATATTTTCTGAAACTTGGGATGGCCACCTCTATCACATCGACCAAGTGTTTCAGACACTGAAAACGCAGGTCTAACCGCAAATCTAGAAAAGTGCGATTTCGAAAAGAGACATGTGAAGTTTCTAGGACATGTAATAGGTTCTGGCACTCACTCTCCAGATCCTGAGAAGGTAGACGTCATCAGAAATCTGTCTAAGCCTACCACTAAAAAAGAAGTCAGAAGTCTTTTAGGGCTAGCAAGCTACTATAGGGATTTACATCCCAAATTTTTCTGAGATTGTTTTACCTCTAACAAACCTTACAAAGAAGAGTGTTCCAAATAATATTCCATGGGACTCTGAAAAAGAAGCAGCTTTCAACAAACTTACAGAAGAGTTGATTAAAATGCCATCTCTGCAAACTTCGGACATCAGCAAGCCCTTTCAACTCTATACGGATGCATCTGCTTTCGCAATTGGAGCGTGTTTAGCTCAAAACGACGAACATGGCAAAGAAATGCCCATAGAATTTTTCAGCAAGAAACTAATGCCCTGTCAACAACGATGGTCAACAATCGAATGAGAAGCATTTTGTGTCATCGAAGCCTTGAAAAAATTTGACACATGAATTTTTGGTGCCAAAGTGCAAATTGTGTCTGATCACAATCCCCTCACCTACTTGACCCAAAGCATCCCTCATGGTGCTAAACTGTCTCGTTGGGCCTTAGCGTTACAACGGTATAACATGACTGTGACATACCGCAAAGGAAGTTCACATGGGAATGCTGATGCTTTGTCAAGGTTAGCAGTTAACTCTTTCTCTCTCAATGAACTCTGAGCAGCATTGTCTCTACGGTGACGAATGTGCTTCTTGTGGGGGGGGGGGACTTGTAAAGATCGTGACTTATAAAAGATCGTGACTTGTAAAGATCATGACTTGTAAAGATCGTGACTTGTAAAGATCATGACTTGTAAAGATCGTGACCTGTAAGGATCATGACTTGTAAAGATCGTGACTTAAAGAGAACGTGAAATATAAATAATAGGACAAGAACTTGCATTCAGGTTTGCTACTCAAACAGGAGAATGAAATTCCCTGACTTTTCCAGGTTTTCCAGGTATATTTCAAGAAAATTCCAGTCTATCAGCGTAATGTACGTTGGCTGTGCTAAGAGGTAAATTAATTATGGTATTACTTGTACTGTGTAGCAAATTCACTTAATTATTCAATAAATCCCAGAGGACATTCATTCTTAATTATTCTTGGTACACTTTGTTTGATAATTTTGTTTACTTTTCCGCTTAAAAAACTTAATAAAATTTAAGATATATACATTGGATAACAACTGTACATTTTATTTAATTATTACTCATGATCATCCCCAGTACAACACGAAGCTAATCCGGTTCTTATAAATCACAACGCAATGCTAAAAGTTAGGTTAGATTTTAGGTAAATTGTGTGAGGTGTATTCTTAAAAGGCACCTTAAAACTTGAAAACACAAATATAATTATAATAGGAGTTGTTTTCTCCACTGAAGATTGAGATTAGAATCTGCACAATCTGGAATAAAATAAGGCTTTTTTTGCAGACATTCTGCAGCTAAACGAAAGAAAGAAATCTATTTAATGATATTTAAAAATAAATTCAGGTATTTTATATTTATTTCGCAGCATACATAAGGAAAAAATATGTGCATTAAATTTCGTGATGTCATCATACTGCTAGAATTAATTTCAGGATTATGCCAGAAAGATTTCCTGAAATTTGGAAATATTATTGCTAATGATAAATAAATTTAGAGGGAAAATGCAACATTAAATGATATGAATAACATAAAAATAAAGCTAATTACTTAAAAATTTAATTAGAATAATCAACGATATTTTAGCGAATATAGTTATATTACATGGTTATCCTAGATGATTGATTACTATTTTTTTATTTTACTGCAAAATGACAAAATATTTATTAAAAAAAAAAAAAAAAAAAAAGATTTTGCGGTAAAATCCTAGTATACGATATGGTCTTCGCATGATTTTGAAAACTGTCGCCAAGAACAAAATGACCCGTTTACTGCTCATCATCATGTCGCCAAATCCCGCTGTACCATACATGGAGATTATTCTGACCAAAGAACGTCTATGTAAAAAGCGGAGGGAAAATTTGCCAAGGGATTTGACGATGGAATGGCCAGAATTTCCCTCTCCACGATGTGTACAGGAAATTGAGAAACACGTGTTAAGAAGAAACGTTCTTTGACAAAAAAGAAAACTATGAAAATCCATTTTAAAATTATTGCGAAAAATCCAAGAAGAAACGTTTTATCAAAGAACGTTTTTTCTTGGATTTTTCGCAATAATTTTAAAAACGGATTTTCGTAGATTCGCCCCCCCTCAAAATAACTAATCCATGAATTAATTTACTTGCGCCAAAAAATATTTTATTTTCCTTTAGAGTTTAAAGAAATTTTAAACGATATTTCATCTTTATGAAATCTTGATAACGTGACCTTCGAACTTCGACACCGGTTTCGAGCATTGGCGACAGATATATCGCGCATGCACAGCTGTTTCCCGCCTATGATGGAACCGAGCCACCTCTTGTTGCAGAGAAGGTTTTCCTTCTTTATAATACATATATTTTTTAATTCTAACCTTCATGGTACCGTATACTACCATGAATATACTAGGATATATACTAGGATTAAACTCATTTTGTTTTATACGAGAACAGGTACTTTCTTTAGTTCATGCACTGCACATGCGATTCTCGAGGTTACTGGAAACCAAAAGTTGCGGGAAACTTGCTTTGCCTTTCTAAAAAGACAATCATATTGGAGCTGCGAAAATTGGCTCTATGCCAGCTGTTCGAATGACACTAACGTGATACACAATTCGCCAATCTCTTCCGACGTTGGCGCAAAACTCGTCTTTTTTGGCGGGATTGTTGTATGAAATTCCCTGACTTTTCCAGATTTTGACTAAAATACTCAAATTCCCTGAATTTTTCCGGTTTTCCAGGTTGTGTGGCAACCCTGTGCATTTTACGGTGTGGCAACAAGAAAAGAATTCGGAAGTTTTTTTTTTTTTTTTTTAAATAGTTGAAGGAGTTTTAACTGTAGTAGTTAAGAGTTTAAAATTTTAATAGTTAAGATCTGCAGCGTTTTATTTTTTTGGTTCTGTTCTAAAATTCAAATAAAAGTATTTTGTTCATTCTGAAAATTTAGCTTTGTTCTTCCTACAAAGTTCAATATCCGTTATACTGAAATAAGGAAAGGATTTTTACTATTATCTACTGCATATACACAGAACTTTTAATTTTAAAGGATATTCCAAATGGTTAACACACATTGCAAATGAAAAGTAATATTAAAAAGTAATTAAAGTAAAATAAAATATGGATATATCTACTTTTAAACTAAATCTTTATAAGGTATTTCTTCCGCTTTCCTAGTGTGCCTTCATGGTGTAGTGATTCTGCACGCTGGGCCAGCATTCCAGAAGTCCGTGGTTCGATTCCCAGCGAAGGTGGTTGCTAATTTTTCATCTCTCCGGCTTTTCCAATTAACCTAATGTCTCTACAGTGGCGCCCGAACTAAAAGGGTGTTGGACGAGGAATCTCCCCACCCAGGATTTGGCAATTGGGTCCTTTAACCCCAGTCGCCCTTTAAAAAGGGAAGTATATAAGATATTTCTCCCACTTTCCTAGCATGCCTTCGTGGTGTAGTGGTTCTGCACGCTGGGCCGGTATTCCAGAGGTCCGTGGTTCGATTCCTAACAAAGGTGGATGCTAATTTTTCATCTTTCTGGCTTTTCCAATTAACATAAGGTCTCTAGATCTTTATCAAACATATTTTTAGAAAAAATATTCAATCATGTAAATTTTAGATAAAGAAAATGCAACAAGAAAACTTTCTTGCTGTATATATGTTCAATTTCAAAACTGTTTATCAAAAATGTTTTTAGGCATCAATGGATCTTAAACTGCAAAAGAAATTTTTTATTCAAAAACTTAGTAAAACTGTATAGCCTTTTAAACAGAAGGAAGAAAAGTAAAATAAATAGTAAAAAATATATTTTTGTGTATTATGTTAAAATTTTGCATAATATTTTACATTAACAAAAGTTAAAATTTTACATTAAAAAAGTTATTTGATTAAATTTTTTTGAAATAAAATAAGGGATAAACCAACGTATTATCTTTTTAAAATTTCTTACCAGGATTGCCTCACCTTAGCACAGTCATTTTCTAAATTCTCTATCTGTTTCTGCATTTTCACCTTGTCTTTCAAATATATTTCTTTTGCCAGCTCAGAGTCTTTTAGAATCTACAAATACATTTTTAATATATTACGGTGTTATATATAAGATATAAAATTGGTGAAATATATGCAATAAAATTTTAAAAGCTATACGGAAATGCTCAGAATAGACAGATAACGAATACAAATTTTTAAAAAACCACAATAAAGATATAAAATTATGGATGAATATAATTAAAAAAATTATTTATTCTAAAGAAACAGAAAAAAAGATATGCATTTCTTCAGCTTACGTTACAGGATTGGTTTAGCAGCACAGAAAGTGATAGATATTTTATGGTGTTTAAACTCAACACCAGAACATGCTTTTCATGTGTCTTTCATGTGTCTGCAGTTTTGTTTTTATGCCTTTAATGAGGGGGAACTAATAACAAAACAAATATTATTTATAAAGAGTTCCTGTCAAAATAAAAGTATTTCAAACTAGAATATTTGAAATATCTGCGAACATAACATGATTAGTTACTCAAAAAAAAAAAAAAAAAAAAAAAAAGAGCTCCAGTTTGGCTTTAGAACAGCTGTATATGGATAAAATTATACATGAGCAACAATGAGACATATTCAAAATTCATCCATATTTACTCTAACTGTGCAATAGTCTATTATTAATCTCATGTTATAATCTATTATTACTCAGGCAATATTTTTTTCTTTCTACTGAGCTCATGTTGTAGTCTACTATTATTCATGCTGTAGTAATATTGAACTCATGATGTAGTCTACTATAACTCATGCAATAGTCTATTATTAAAATCATTCAAAACACTGCTCAGCATTTAGAATAAGTCTACTATTATTCATGCTGTAGTAATATTGAACTCATGATGTAGTCTACTATTACTCATGCAATAGTCTATTATTGAAATCATACAAAACACTGCTCAGCTTTTAGAATAGAATACATATACCATTATTTCTTCCACTGCTAGATAAATTAAAAACTGCACTTTTGTTATTGGTTTAGTGACAAAAATACTGCTACAGTCAAAAGTCGTTAATCCGGACACCCATAATCCGGAATGATCTACAATCCGGAACTCAAAGCTACAAACTTTCTGCGTATGCGTCAAAGCATAATGCATTCGCGCATGCGCACATGAGCATATGCGTGTGCGCATAATACGTTTATGCATGCGCGTTTAATGTATAACGGACAGTATAAGCTAAGCTAAAATTATCTAATTATCTATTTCAGTTAATGTTGCAGATTGCGTTGTTCCTTAATCTTTGAATTGGATCCGGCTTATTATTTTTTGCAGACTGTTAGAGCAATTTTATAAAAGTAAGCTTGAACTTTCGTTTATGTCAAATAGAATTTCTGATATATATTTACTAAAATGTAAAGGATATACAAAGCGAAAGTATGTTTCGATGTCCATCAAACAAAATGTGGAATTGCTACAAAAAATGGATAAAGGCATATCCTTTGTTTCTCTAACCATTCCAAAATCTGTTTATCAATTTCACGCTGCTCTGCACGTGTTGAGGGGGGACATAGTGGCGCACAATGAATTGGAAGTTGATCTGTCAGCACTATCCTTATCTTCAGAGCAGATGTTTTTATTTTATTCAGCTTATAATTCCTTACTAAATGTAGTATTTCATCTCGATGTACAGACATACTCCGGCTTTGATATGATTTAAATCAATTTCCATGTCATTATAAATATCACGAATACACATCAAGTAGTTTTCTGGTTGCAGTTTTCTAATTTCGACTATGCGTAATGTATGCTTTATGCATGCGCACGCTGAAAGAAATGTTTAATAAAGTAAACAAATAAATATCAAGTTTTTTTCGTAAATTTTGATACCCTTTAGATCATAATTGCTCTTTATTTCATAAACTGCAATTTCATATTTTTAATTTTATAATTTTTGCATGCCATCTTACCAGTTTTAAACTGATGATCTATAATATATTAAATACAATCAAAAGTCTTTAATCCGGACATTTATAATTCGGTATGATCTATAATCCGGACCTCAAAGCTGCAAACCTTCTGTGCATGCGTAAATGCATTATGTGTTTACACATGCGCATTTAATGTATAACAGACGGTATAAGCTAAGCTAAAATTATCTAATTATCTATTTCAGTTAATGTTGCAGAGTGCGTTGTTCCTTAATCCTCTAATTAGATCCAGCTTATATTTTTTGTAGACTGTTAGAGCAATTTTATAAAAGTAAGCTTGAACTTTCGATTATGTCAAAAAGAATTTCCGATTCTGGAGCAGCCAAAGGATTTACAGAGCGAAAGCATGTTTCGATGTCCATCAAACAAAAAGTGGAATTGCTGCAAAAAAATGGATAAAGGCATATCCTTTGTTTCTCTAACCATTCCAAAAATGAACAATTTCATGCTGCTCTGCAAGCGGGGGGGGGGGGGGGGGGACGTCACGGTGCACAATGACTTGGAAGTTGATCTGTCAGCACTATCCTTATCTTCAGAGCAGATGTTTTTATTTTATTTGGCTTATAATTCCTTACTAAATGTAGTATTTCATCTCGATGTATTCTGTCTTTGATATGATTTAAATCAATTTCCTCGTCGTTATGAATATCACGAATACACATCAAATAGTTTTCTGGTTGCAATTTTCTAATTTCGACTATGCATAATGTATGCTTTACACATGCGCACGTTGAAATAAATGTTTAATAAAGTAAACAAATAAATATTAAGTTTTTTTTTTTTTTTGTAAATTTTGATACTCTTTAGAATGTAATCATAATTGCTCTTTATTTCATAAATTATGATTTCATATTTTTAATTTTATGATTTCTGCATGCCATCTTATCAGATTTAAACTGATGATCTATAATCCGGAATCGCCGAAGTCCCGATGAGTTTGGATTAAAGACTTTTGACTGCAGTAATAACAGCTGCCAACCTCAAAATATGAAAAAACAGGAGTATTCGGGAGGTTTGTGCATTGTTATTTTTTTAAAAAAAGGTCCAAATTGATTTAAATTCACTTTGTAAGGCAAAGTTAAAATTACTGAAATATTTACAATATAATTCAGATGTAAAATATATTAATTCTAATATTTCTGTGCTAGGGCTAATTCCATTTTGCAATTTTTCTACACTTTTATACTGAGAAAATCTTCTGTAAGGATGGAAAGCTTTATTTACCAAAGTCCTACAAATTACAATGAAAATAAAATTAATGTTCATGCTGTGGGTTTTTTGGTAAAATTACTGGCAAAAAACTAAAAAGATTATACTATGCCAAATATAAGTTACATCCATTCTATGATATTAAGACCACATTAGTACATAGCAATAATAACCTGATGCATATAAAATGAAAACATGCATAAATTCAGTGAGTGAATTCAAATATAAAACTAAGTAAAATCACAAAATATGAAATACAATGAAATATATAAATATTAAAATGTAACAGACAATTTTAAACCAGTTCAGATTAGATAATACATGCTATTTTTTCTTAGAAACTGAAACAAATTAAAACTGAACTATTTTCAAATTAAATGGTCAAGCAGTGTCACAGCTAGTAATGTACTTTGAATAAAGTCACTTAAAATATGAGGGACACTACACTATAAATTCTACTAGTATATGACATATCCATAGAACAGCATTCTCTCTGAATAAATAAATTGGCTTAATCTTGTGTTTAGAAAATGTGTCATTCAAGAGTGACCAATCCTAAAAAGTGTCAAAAAACTTTCTTTTTTAATGGACTCTCAATATTCCATTCCAGGCTTTTCACTATTAAATTTGTTATGAAGCTGAGCATCCCAAATTTGCTGTAATTTCTTCAGGATCTTCTATTACTTGATGACACTGGTGATATCTCTCAGACGGATGAGGTAACTGGACAGTTCAACAGCAGATTTCGTTGTGTTATCTGCCAGTTCAATACATTTTATTTTTACATGTCCATGAACCCTGCAGTAAAGAATTTCGTAACCAATGCTCTTGAAATTTATAAGTTCCATAAATATCTACAGCAGATTCAAGAACTGTCTAAATCTTATTCAGGTACAACCATAAAAAAATCATACAAGAATGTTACGAAATGAGAAACAAAACTAAGAGAGTATTATTTTGTTTCATGTGTCACTAACACTATTTAAATACTTATATTTATATAGAAAAACCCACTTGAAATAGGGTGGATTGTTTTCTATAACATTACAATAATGTTTAGTATTTTGTAGCCAAAATTATTTACAAATGAAAATGATTTTTACTGATAAATTTCTTACATCTTTTGCAATAGACTAGTGCATTTTTTTATTATACCCATTACAGTCAAGCACTCATTTGAAAAGGGCAGGGAATGGTAAAATAAAAATGCGGATAAGAGTATGGATAGAATAATTAACATATAAAAATATTATAAATTAATAAACAGATTAAAGCTTCTGCAGTCTATGAATTTGGCATTCAGTGAAACAAAAAATCACATTATACACTTTTATTGAATTAAGAAAAATTGGAAAGCAAAAATTAAATATAAATTATTTACCTTTGTAGCTAAAATATTAACGGGAAGGGGGACATACCCATTTTGCATTCAGTTTTTATTTCCATAAATGATGATGAAAATATCTTTCAACGGGAAAAGTTCCTTTTCTAAATAGTTCTTTTTAAGAAATATATGTTAATATTTTCTATAATGTCAGAAGAAATAAAATATACTTAAAACTTTAATAAACAGTCTTAATTCTTTGATGCACACTATATTATTTTTATAATTTTTTTAACCTAAAACTCTAGAAATTGAATATTATGATCCTACAGACAAGTAATATATTAATTTTAAAAAATTTACTCTTGCGCATTATTCTGTAGGTAGTGGTCACACTGTGAAACCAGAGCATGTCTAGGACTTTGAAACTTACTGAGGTAGTAGGGGGGAGAATTACCGTTTTCTGTTCGCATTTCCAATAAATGATGAAATTTACGAATTTAAAAAAAAATGTATGCAAGAACTGGATTACATGTACATTTTTTACATTGTTTTACA